ACGGCGGTCGGGGATTGAACGCCTAGGACTGTTACTGTGCATTTAAATTACTAACTTACCTGAGAGTCTATATCTCTACATGTCAATGTTTGTGTATACTGGTAATGTGAGGAACATACAGAAGATAAGGGTAGCTGAACACCACAAAATGCTGAAGGACAACTTTATTAAAGTTGCATAATGAAATGTGTAAGTACTTCATTCATAATGATGGGCTGCCCGAAATCTTAGTGAAGTATCCAAAATTTGCTTGGTAATGCATGCACATGACTGTAAAACTGCCGCCCAGTTGGGTGGGTGTGGAGCACATGACTGTAAAGCTGCCGCCCAGTTGGGTGGGTGTGGAGCAAGACTAGTAACTGTGTGACTCACTATAGATGTAAAGTGCCTTTTATAGTGACTGTTGTGAGCCTCTTGTTGATCACTTGTGACAAAGATTATTGATGTGTGTATTTGTGTAGGTGATTATATATGTATGTGTATTATATATATATATATATATATATATATATATATATATATATATATATATATATATATATATATATATATATATATATATATGTATGTGTATTATATATATATATATATATATATATATATATATATATATATATATATATATATATATATATATATATATGCAAACAAGCCTGAATGGTCCCCAGGACTATATACAACTGAAAACTCACACCCCAGAAGTGACTCGAACCCATACTCCCACAACTGCATTTGTGTTCCTCACGTGTGCCCCAAAGAATGAGGTGATTTGATAAAATGCTATGCCCAAGATTACCATCCGAGTGCCGGCGGGGAAGTGGTTCATATAGCCTCGGCTATCACTTCCTTTTGTCCGGTCGTGATGGTCAAGCGGATTAAGGCGTCCCTGTACATACCAGTTGTGGGAGTATGGGTTCGAGTCACTTCTGGGGTGTGAGTTTTCAGTTATATATATATATATATATATATGAATGAAAACTCACACCCCAGAAGTGACTTGAACCCATACTCCCAGGAGCAAAGCAACTGGTAACTACAGGGAGCCTTAATCCACTTTACCATCATGGCTGTCAAAAGGAAGTGATAGCCAAGGCTATTTGAGCCACTTCCCCGACGGCAACTCGGATGGTAATCTTGGGCATAGCATTTCACCAAATCACCTCATTCTTTGGGGCACACGTGAGGAACACAAATGCGAACAAGCCTGAATGGTCCCCAGGACTATATGCGAATGAAAACTCACACCCCAGAAGTGACTTGAACCCATACTCCCAGGAGCAACGCAACTGGTAACTACAGGGCGCCTTAATCCACTTGTTCAAGTCACTTCTGGGGTGCACATAACCATTGCCTATAGCATCAGTCGAAGAACTGATGGGTGGATAGCCGGCGTGGGAGGTCTGGGGCTCCCCCTTCCCCCTCCCGGGGAGGGGGGAGCTGCGCAGACAGCGGCGCGGTGACGTATGACATCATACTAGTTTCCTTATTTTCTGTTGAAGAGTTCTATCCACTAGTTCGGCTTAGGTAGCAATTTTCACCAGAATAGGGGTTTGTTTTGGAATGCTTACCTTTCTGGATGCTTGACCCAGTCGATGGCAGACATAGAATGCTTCCAACCACACGGGGGTTTCTATAGGCCATTGCTCCCCTTGCCTCTCTGAGGGGGCCAGGTTCTGGCTCGTGGTCCCCGGTAGGCCCTAGAACTCCATACACATGACTGATGCCAAAGTCTGACATTAGCATATCAGCCGGTAAAGCTCCGGGGAGCCGACGGGGCTCCCCCCAGAAAGTTCCCCCATTTTGCACCCCGCAAGATAACATAAGTTTTTAAGGGTTGACAATTATTAATCTTCTTGTTTGATAAGCTGTTGAGATAGTTAAGCAAGTGCCAGCTGTGTCCGGGTACAAGTGACAATGAACAACCCAGCGGGTTTTCTTTCTATTGGGGAGCATTGTACATGCTGCTATGGCAATAGGGAGCCGGCAGCTGAGCGGACATAACACTGGACGCGTGATTCTGTGGTCCTGGGTTCGATCCCAGGTGCCGGCGAGAAACAATTGGCAGAGTTTTTTTCACCCTGATGCCCCTGTTACCTAGCAGTAAATAGTTACCTGGGAGTTAGTCAGCTGTCACGGGCTGTTTCCTGGGGGTGGAGGCCTGGTCGAGGACTGGGCCGCGGGGACACTAAAGCCCCAAAATCATCTCAAGACAACCTCAAGATAAGATGGCGCTGTGTGTCCACTCACAGGTTGTGGCGCTGCCCAATAAACTCACCCCTCGGGGCAAAACTAAAACTTAGGTGATACAAAATGTGTCCAACCATTTGTCTTGGTCAGGATTCGAACCCGAAATCCCCAATTATGAGTACACACATTTACAGTACTGTTAAATGGTTTCCTACAACCTAGTATCCAGGTGACTAAATAATGGACTAAATAAGGGACTACAAATAGTACAGGGAACTCAGAGAGACAAATACCTTCTTCACTGCTTTCTCAGCCAGTGGTCTGGCTCCGTGGATGATCGACCCAACCATTGCCTCAAAAACAAAATTATCTACCCTAGCTAAATCATTACAGTCACCAGCCATAAGTCGATTGTATAAAATAACAAGCATAACAATAACTATAATTAACATATAAAATAAGTACTATACACAGTGAACAACTTAATCCCAACTGCCAATGGTTGGCAGTCCAGCAAGTCCCTCAATGGAACCCTTGGTGCATCCGATACCTTCGATATTACTCATTTCCTTGTTCCCATATAGGCATCTTGAGTAATATTTAGTTTTTTGAATATCCAGTGATACATATGGTGCAATATGTTGTTCCCAGTTTGGTGCCTTCTTTTGATAATTACATAACTAACCATCTTGCCAAATGGGCAAGGATTACATTATGGAATCAATGGATATAAATCTTGGAAAGGAATGACATCTAAGTTTATTATAGGTAACACCAACATGGTTGGGTACCTAGCAAAATTCGACACTTAAATTGGCCAAAGATGAGAAACCTCCACCATTGAATTTCGACCACCAAAGAATGGGAGGGGTTAAGACCCTAAAAATATGAGGGTACTACAAGAGTCTGCCACAATAACAAAAGTTGGCACATCAAAAGCAGTTTGTGAAGTATATAAAATATTGCATAAAGCTCTGCTATAACAATGCTAGTCTCCAGATGAAATAAGCAGTTGTATATCTGTTCTTCTTGATCAGACTAGCCAACACTATTGGTAGACTTTAATCCACCCATGAAGAGATCAGTAGTACAGTACATGAATGGCAAGAAAAAAAAAAGAGTTAAAGGAAATGGCAATTCATACCAGTATGAGGGGTAGAAGCCTCCATCATGTTTGTCAGGGAAAGGGAAGGGGGGAGAAGCTTGCAACATTTCACAAGGAAAACCTTCCATGGGAGCAAAGTAGGAACACTCGGAGAAACGTGTGAATATATAGTGAGAGAATCTTGTAAGCTAGCCACCCTTGCAGTAAAATAAAGGAAGTGGAACCAGGGCCCACCAATCATGACAGTCATGACCTTCAAGATGATCTAGACAAAGTTAGTATGGAATTAACACTTGGCAGATGGAATTCAACCTGTACCACCTACAAATTACATCAAGGTATTAAAAAACGCGAGAGATTTGGGGACAGTTAAACTGCTGCCAGAGGACCACATAGACATTGTGAGAAGAGCCTATATTGTAGCTTCCATCTCGAGGATTGCTTTTAAATACATGAATGGTGAAATATTTAAGAAATAGTTCACAACTTTTGCAAGAAAAAAATTGGAATCTGCAGCAGTTGTATGATGGCCTTCTCTTAAGAAGCACATCAGTAAAATGGAAAAAGTCCAAAGACATGCTACTAATTGGCTTCTAGAACTGAATAACAAGATCTATGAGGAGAGGCTGGTGTTAAATATACCAACGCTAAAAGACACTTTGAAAGGGTGGAGGAAAGTAGCAATGTGATCACCACATACAAAATAGTAACGGGAATCGACAAGAGAGAGAAAGATAAATTCTTGAAATCTACAACTTCAGAGGTCATAGATTCAAAGTTAATGAGATGAAAGAAGAGGGATGGGGTGGTGGGGGGGGGTTAGGGGGGGACCTCATACATAACGAAATGGGTAGCTTTATCATTTCATAAGAAAAAAATAAAGAAAATATATTAGTTCATGAAAACTTGGCTTAGGGCAAAAAAAAAAAAATATATATATATATATTATAGTTCTCCTTTGCAAACAGTGGTGTACAACTGAAACAAGTTGAGCGAGATGGCTGTGGATGCAAAAACCATTAGTATCAAAGCATCACATGACAGTACTGGAAAGATGGGCCACCGTGAGCGGAACTCTTGTCCTATAGCTTGGATAATTACACACAAATGCAAGCACAAACACTTCATATACAGTACAGCATGTACAGGGAAGCAAAAGTGAAGAAATTGATCTCGGAGAGTGAACACGAAGGAAGATTTTTGCCACAATTAAATGTGTAAAATATTATGAAGCTTTACAAAAAAAAAAAAAGGAAAGTTTAATATAAAAGTCGAGAATATAGAAAAGACCATGAAAAAATTATCAGAAGACGACACCATGCAGGGATGAATGTGCTAAGCCTGAATAGCTGTATATTATAGCACTATGTCACAGAGGACTCGAGAGTTCCTGGACGTCGCTCAGACTACCAATATGAGCCCCCCCCCCCAAACAAAAAATTGTTGAGTACTGAAATAGTAAGAACAGGCAGTCAGTAGTAATATTGGTCAGCCTGTTTTGCTTCCTCAGTGATGAGACTTCTGTGAGATCCGAGACCAATCATCCTAATCAATTGGCCTGAAACGCTATGTGTATTAGTGGATTGTATGTACTAGCTCTATCTTTAAATCCAACATTATGTTTATTACTCATCTTCAATGTATGTACCTCTACCTGAATAAAAAATCTAATCTAAAATTGTTTTGAAAGGCATAATAAAATATCTGGTCTTAGTACATGTTTCATTTATTAACGTCTTATTCAAAATTGGCAACTACAAATCACAAAATATGAACTCAATGCAATCGGACTATGAACACTGAACATAGATTAAATACTCAATTGGGATATAGTCTGGTTTAAGCTTCCTATACAAGGTCCCAACCACAGTTTTTATATAAACATATTCCTAAGGGCACACTCATACACAAACATACTAATGCACATTAGAGATTAAGAAAAATAGATACTAGCAGTTCTGAGATGTATATCATATATATAGTAACAATCATTAGGGGATGATGAATCAATGCTAAAATCACACATCATACAGCAGTTAGCCCTTGAAAAGAAGATATTTCTGTGGCATCTTACAGGGGACCCTGCGTACGTCGCTTGTTTAGGGAGCGGAGGAATTCATACAGTCAACATCGAGGAACCCACTAACGCATATCAGTCTGTTTTGTTTATCCGTTCAAGAATCATCATAATGACCATCACTACCATAATTCTTCAACAATCATCACTCCCTTTCACCGCAGCTTGCAGAGGCTTGCTTGGGCAAATGTGAATTTTATAACAGATGTGTAAGAATTTCTACGAGAGCTAATGGAGTTTTGTCTTTCAAAGTAACTCTCTGCCTTACAAACTAGTCTAAAAGAAGACGTAAGAAGCCCATGATTAATTCACTTATAACAATTTACTTACGATTACTGTATTTATGAGAATAAATTTTAAGTATCCATATCTGCACTCCAATTCACAAGTTACACAATGAGCGTCATTCAGTTCTACAGTGATTAAAGGAAAACACTGTGATAGGTAACAAGAAAGAAAATTCACATGCCCATGTTTCTGTGGCTCAGTGTGCGGAATGTATGTAGTGCATCAATCTCTGACTGCCACAGCTAATTGCTCAAATTACTTGTCAATTTTAACTTTGACTGCAGCAGTCAAAGTTTTAAACTATTAAAATACCTATTTTAAATATAAACTTGTGGAAAAAGTGCAATTGAAAAAAAAATTCTTCGTAGATCCTAATTTTTACAAATTTCTTTGTACAATCTCGCACAAAAACAATTCAGATTGCCAGAATCCCCCGACAAACATGTTACATAAACTTGCCCTGTTATTTGCCAGCTGTTTAAATGATGCATGCCCCAACAATCTTTTACCGGTACTGTACTGTACAATCTGCAATTACGGCTTCAAAAACCTAATTGATTAACAGGTCAAACATTTAAATTGAGCTTTGAAAAAGTTGTCTTAGATTAAAAATATTGTTAAATGAAAATTCAACAGAATCCCAAGGACCCATAAATGATATGGTCAACTGACAAGCTTTTGTTTTGCAGCAAATGTTATTCTGTTCAATGCCAGTAAGGGTATCAATATTCATAGGCCTGGCTATAGTTTGCTTTAAGGGGGGAAAATAATTTGTGCTCATCTTACTTTCACTGCTGCATTCTTGAATTAGCATTATATAAGCTTAACATTCATTCTATATTTCTTGAAGTATCTCGCTTATGATAAATTAACATTGATCTTCTCTTAAATGAAGTACCAAACAGTATTTTCGCTTTGGGTATTATTTTGTAAACTCAGACTAGCAACACAATTTTGATATAAAGTTGCTATTCTAAGATACTATACTTGGAAATAGTAATTAAATTCACAGTTCTGAGGCTTGTTAAAATTTGGTAATAATATTGATAGGGTTAATATCTGACTATTTCTACTCTAATTGGGATGCATACACTCAGTAAATGATGGCAACATCAGCCCCAACACTGCCCGTCATTAAAGAGATAAAGCCTTAGTAGAGCCAGGTCAGTGTGGGGGAAGGTATTAGTTTAACTCTTCACAAAGAGCAGTTCAGAGCACCATGTATTACTGTACATAACACTCAAGACACGGCTATTTAGGATTTCTTAACCAGCTATCAGTCCACATCATCCATTACTAACTCGATCACTAATTCTTATATGTTGTGAAGAGAATAATCTTGTATATATATAAAAAAAATGTTATTTGGTAGTTTTTAAATTATTTGAGAAGACACTCCATTTTATAATCAAAACTATTTGACTTGCAACAAGACGTCCCAGCGCACTTGGTTCATAATTAGAGAAGCTTGAGTCACGCAAATTAAAATGATACAAGACTAATCTGTTAAAAGGCCCTCACATTATAAAAAAGGAACTAATCTCCATCGTTCTTGCTTGTTCATTGAACATTGCAAAATTTTTCACATGACAAAAATTCACATGAAAAATATGGTATACATAAGTGCCTAACACACAACATGTTGACAATAATAACACACAAAAACTGCCCACTGAGCAGTTTCTGTTTTAATGATTAAAAAAAAAAAATAGGCCATCTTTCCTTAATAAATATCATTTCTAAAAACTGAATATACAATGGTATGTTTCCATAACCCAATATTCTTCTATACAATGACTTGACAAATGACATTTTGCATAAAAACACACTGAATGTAAATTCATAACTGTACAAATATTAGATCCCTAGTTCATATTCTGTAGGCAAAACTGTTTCCATGTGGCTGGCAATACACTGAATGTCTACCGCTAGATACTACCCCTTTCTAGTAAGATCCAACAAATTCTTGTAGTGAATTTTCTGCCTATTGGCAAATGTTCAGTTTACATTGTGCCTTGTTTTCAGTACAATTGATACTTAAGAAAGTTGGTAATGATGTAATTTGAGGTTTATATATACATAAAGACAGAAAACTTTGGAGCTGCATATTCTTGTAACATTGCAGAGTACAGTGACACAGGGCATCTCTCTCTCACTTTCATCAAAATATTGCACTATAAACAAATGAGACGCTCTTTAGGAAAAATCCTGAAAAGAAATCCTCTAAGGTTAGTGTGATACTTAAACAGAGCGCCAGACCATAACAACAGAAACTAACGATAATCATTACAATAGACTCTAAAATGCAAGAAAATAGACAAGTAATAATATTCTTTATAGTGTGCCTTAGGACTCACAGAGTCGTACAGTATTATATAGCTCGAGACTTCACAAGGAGGAAGAGAAGAAAAATATTTGCTCTCAGAATTAGGCAATTAATAACCATTCATTCCCACTGGCAGTTAAAAGAAAATATTAGTTCACAAAATCTAATTTTTTTTACATGCCTAACTAGTTTTCATTTTGAAATGGATGAAAAGAAGCCATCACACATCATTCAAATTTATCACATCAATGTGAATCGCATAGAAACACTAATCAAACATATAAGTATTCTACAACTTTGCACACATGGACATATTTTTAATGTTATTAACTTTGATACATACCTACATACATGCAACTTGGGGAAATCTAGCCACTTGTCATTCATGTATTAAATCATAAAAACTCTGTTGAACCCATATAAGTGTACTATGTAATCTACAAAGTGTGTGATGAGAGTCGGCTGCATTTTGGCATAGTTAATCTGGGGCATCGACCATGTGTAGTAAACAAAGCTGCAGTCGATTCTGATGACGGCCAATAGGGAGACTCCAGGAGACTGACGGAGGAGTTAACCTGGGTTGAAGACTTTCTCCTTGTGCTTGCAGATACTCCATAAAAAATTTCCATCTTGGCATTACTGTACTTAAGATCAAGGATATGTTTTGATTTAATTTTGCAGCACTGTCCTTCAAATCTGTGGATGCAGGACCTCCATTCTGTCACTCCAAATAGCTCTCGGTTCCTTTTCATTCACCAAAATCTATGTCCATTCCATATATTTATACTCCTGCCACATCTGTATTTCACCTCAGCTATAAAATGAGACTATCCTCTACATATCATTTCAAGATATAATTTTTCAAGCACATCAGTAACTCGCAAATCTCTCTCCATCCCGCCTGTATGTCTCCTGTATAGCGGTGTTCTTCCCAGCAAGTCCGTCAACCCCCCACTCACCACATGACTAGGTTAGCTCCCGGACCCCAAGTGGCTGGCTAGCAGCGGCACACCTTTCACTCACGCCACCTTATGAGCTAAAAATGGCACTTGCTCCCACCACCACGACTTACGCCATTCTCTCACTCTGCCATTGCTTGAGAGCCTCTGTCTGGCATCTTCCTGAGGTGGCATTTCTTCACAAGGCAAATCAGTCTCTAATGTTACTTGACATCACCTTGCTCATATTAATCAAATGACACACATCATAAGACAGGTGTTTCTTGTTGACAGTTAATATTAATAAGAATTTGTATGTTACATTCTTTCAAGCTGATTTCAAGTGACACTAAAGATGCCCATACTCAGTGGCACCTCATACCACACCACCATACTGATCCTTGGCACTCATGCCCATCACAGCCTGGGCTCTGGCACTGTCTGCACATATGTGAGCCACCAAGTACACGGCAGCATCTCCCACAACTGAGCACCTGCTGCATTTGCTTAGCCCACTGCTTGCCCGAGGCCTGGCTATGTGGCCCACATAATGGTGCGCACACAGCCTTATGTATACAACAATGCACATGCACTGGGGTCTCTGGAGGGGAGTACTAAACTTGTACACAGACACAGGGAGTCAGCTTAGTAGCCTCTAGACACTGCAAAAGGCCTCTAAAACTCGGCAAACTCCTTGGCACATTTTTCTGTGGAGGAGATACGAAGGGCTTCTTCTTCATAGTCGTCAAAGTTGCTAGTATCTCCAGGTCCTTTGCATTTAGGTATAAATGGAGCTTCAACCTGAAAGTGATAAAAAAAACACCTCATAATATAAAAATGTGCATCAAGACAAAAGGCTTGACCCTTCCCTAACATTATGGCTTTAGACTCAAATTTTAAAACCAATATTCAATATTAAAGCATTCAACATAACTTATGCAGTCTAAATTAATTATTCAGTAGAAAGAGTTGCACAAGTTGGCATAGCAAATTTATATTAAGCATTCTAAAAACTAGACTGTGGCAGTCAGCAACATTTAGAAACACAGCATACATTATCTTAATGGCATCTCTTTAAAGCATTGTTAAGTACAGTTTGTTTATAAAACTAACAAAAACATTCATGTAACTTTTGAAGTGATAATTTACTTTTGTTTTGGTATCCTATATTGTAAATGCTGACATTTGTACAACATAATAAATGTAAAATTGTTCATAGTAATTTAGTGAAAGTATTCATGAGAACAAATAAAGGAAATTTATTACAAGAATAATATTAAAAGCATTAGCGAGGGCAAAACAAATTAGGTCTGGCACTCACTCACTCTCTCTGAGACTAGGAAAGCATCAGAGATCAAATGAAGCACTGAAGTATGCATTTTGGAAATAAATACAGGAGAAACAGAGCCAGGCACGTAGCCCAGGAGCAGAGCCGGGTGCACTGTCCGAGAACAGGCTATCATTCCTTTGTGTTCCACCGTGAACTGCACAATTTAAATGATAAAAGTTCTTGTTTCAGTTCCACCCAATAGCAGGTTTTGGGGGTCTCACTTAACACACTATTTTGGTAGCAGGGCCTGCTTCAAATTGTGCTCCGGTTTTGTAGCTGCGTCCGTTCACATTATATATCTGGGGGGTACTGCCTGCTATATCTGGTCTTTTGTCTTCCTGGTTTCAGGGTTCCCTGGGTCCCTTGTGGTCTGCTGTCCAACAGTTTATGGTATTTCTCCTTTCGTTCCTGGGTCCAGTTCTCCTTCCAATGTTAGAGATTAAGGTTCCTGTTCAGAGTTTGTTTTGACAGAACTACACCAGGCCCCAGCCTAATGTAGTTCCCAGTCTGTCCTGTCCCAGGCCCCACCAGGACCTGGGATTTTCCCCTTCACTCCTAGTGGTTGGATGTGGCCCTAGTGTACTGTGAAGAGTGCTCTGTATGCCTCTGGGAGGCTATATTCCTGAATATTTTATCTAAACATAATAACTTCACTAATCCATGTATATAATGAATAACCATGGTGATGTCAAACAACTCTGGCATACACCTACACTATTATCAAACTAGTCACTCAATTCACTATTAACTTTGATACATGTACAACTTTCTACATAGAAACTATTCCCAGCATGTAACAGAACTCTGCCAATTCAATAATAATCTTAAGCTTAATTTGAGTGAATTTGCTCTACACAAGGTTCTCCATAAACATACTCCTCTAATGACTGATATGTAATATCTAGCTTTTAATGTTTTAGAATCTAAATGTTTTATTTTGTTATTTGAACGTCATTTTGTTTTATTTTTATCATTGTTAATTTATGTTTCATTTGCTAGTTTGCAAGTACTGTATGTCAAGTTGTGAATTAGAGAATGTTCATGTCTGTTAGGCAAATAGATTTCCTTTGCTTTTGTGAGCATTTCCTCACCTTCCACCACTCGGTTAGGAGCTGGATTCAGTCAACAGATCCGATGTGCTGGGTTGCTCTTCTGAGGCGCCCACCTGCGTAGTAAGATCTCAGCTTTTCTCCCATTAACACTGAGATCTGTGTATTCTTAAGTTTAGTTTAAGTGTATTTCCCACACTTTAATGTTTAATGTTTTTCTTGCCCGAAACGCTTTGCGTAATAGTGGCTTTAGGCATTGTATGTACTAGCTCTATCTTGAAATCGATCAAATTTTGGAAAATCTCTTGTATGTATGTACCTTACCTGAATAAACATTTATTTATTTATTATTTATTTACTTTGCCCGAAATGCTGTGTGTATTTGTGGTTTTAGGCATAGTATGTACTAGCTCTATCTTGAAATCCAACATTATGTTTATAACTCATTTTGAATGTATGTACCTTTACCTGACTAAACATTACCTTATCTAAGTTGACTTATTTCCATGTTGTACGAGTTTCCTGTCATGCATGTTTAATCAAATAAAGGTAATGCACACACCTTGCTGACTTGGTTGAATCCCACAAAACAAAATAGTTGTGTGTGGAGTTCACTGGGGCTCAGTCTTGTATTTGTTGACGTGTCATTTTTAGCAATAATATATATATAAAAGATTGTATACAAACTTCCCTTACACTAATACACAATGAGGAACTAATGTACAGTAATTAAATGTTGAGAAAATGGAAGGTATGTGCTATAATGTTTTTTCTTGTTCCCTGCATGTATGAATCTTACTTTGTTTAAATATGCTCCAGATTAAAATACATGAAAATACAATAAATGTACCTTACAAAGAATACCATGACGTAAATTCTGCATGAATCATACTGCTTTATTGTGGAAAATATTACGTGCTATAGATACAAATACAGACTACAGTACATCCTATAAGCGAAGAAACAACAATAATTCAGCTGTATAAAGGCATTACCAACCGTCTAGAATTCGGAAAACTCTCGGATGAACAGGTCCTCTGGTGAAAGGCGGAACGTAGTCCTGCTCTCCTCGTACTGAGGAAATTGGGTCGTATCCCCTCGGAACTTTAACTTGGGAACCAATGGGGCAGGAGTCTACCACAAGGAGGCAACAAAGCGATCACATGCAACATTCGGCAGTGCAGGCATTTAAAGACAACAGATTTTTTGAGCTTTGAAAAGGTTGTCTTGAAAAACATAATTATATAGACCTAATGAAATAGGATTATTGTTTATTATAGGATTATTAAAGTTTTTATTTGAATTATATTTTCTTAGAGCTTCCCACAAGAAAAAACTTGGAAATAATTTTTTTTTTCCTAAGAGCAAAGGGAATGGGGATTACTATAGCTATAAAAGAAGAATTTTGTTATGGTGCATAGTGCATTCATTTCAACTTTAAACCACTTCAGTGTTCTTATTAGATACCAAGAGAAAAACAAAATTTGTACGTTTATGGTGCTACTGTATACATTTACCAGAATTACCAAACAACTCATTAGTTGTTCGATCAACTGATCAACAGTTAAATCAACTGGCTCAAGCTCAAAAAACTACTGTTGTTGTTGTTAATAGTAGTTGCAGGTTACATTAGTGCCAATCCTTCCTGGGAACAAAGCTTTATATGTCTTAAAACATTACAATAATTACTGAAATGAGTCTTGCCTTACAAGAAATCCAAAAGTTACTTTATATTTGTAATTTTTAAAGGAAAATTAACATTCACCTCTAAATATTCATCAACATAAATAACAATTTTTTTGCAAAATGAACTGCTTGACCCTTGTGTGTATTATACTAGTACCTGGACAGTATTAAATTCTACACTAATAACTTGAAGTTTTATATCAGTGTAATTTCCAACACTTCTAAATAGTTATATAAACAATCAATACAGACAGCCACGTGCTTTGCGAATGGCATGTATCAGAAAATGCCAGTTTCCCGATTTGAGTTGGTTCAGATACTCAAGTTCGGGAAAGTGCATGATTCGCATAAAATAGTTCGGGTATCTCATCAAGCAAGCGTCCACCAAGCCTCCTGGGGTGGTTGGGTGGGAGATGGGCCTAGTTTGCTCCACTGACCATGTCAGGCGCAACTCTAGTGCCTTCTACCCTGTGACGTCGCAGATTCACAGCCCATTGTTTCCATTGTTTTGATTTGTCACGAGACTGGGGGTGATCATTCAGAGACTTTGTTGAATATGTTGTCAAAATCTAGAAACATTCGTGCACCATGTCAGCTCCGAATGCATCCATTGTGTCAGTGAAAGCTTCAACAAGTGGGATATGTAAAAGAAATAGGTCACCCAAAATTAATTCTTGGGCATTTAATGGAACAGACCTACAGTTTACTGTCAGAACTGCATTGTTCCACTAACAGTAACTGGGGCCTGACAGCTGAGTGGACAGCGCTAGGGATTCATTGTTCTAAGGTTCCGTGTTCGATCCCCATTGGAGGCAGAAACAAACGAGCATATTTTCTTTCACCCTGATGCTCTGTTCACCTAGCAGTAAATAGGTACCTGGGAGTTGGACAGCTGCTGCATGCTGCTTCCTGTGGGGTGTGAAACAAAAAGGAGGCCTGGCCGGTGACCAGGCCATGGGGACGCTAAGCCCCGAAATCATCTCAAGATATTGCTAGGTGTCTCCCTGTGATTTATAAGAACCAGACAAATGCGTGGATGTCTTGAGTAATATCTGCCGAGTGGTTTAATAAAAATTTTGTACCAGAGGTTATGGAGCACCTGAAAAGTGTTGGCCTCCTGCAAAACAGCAAAGTTGTGCTGCTGCTAGATAATAGTGCAATGCATCCATGAGGTGATGAACTAGTAAATGGCAATATCATTGGTTTTTTCTCATCACCCAATACAACTTCACTGATCCAATCCATGGATCAAGGGATAATTAAGAACTTTAAGCACCACTACAAGATGATGTTTGCCAGACGTCTTAATAATCAGCCAGGAACAATTAAGGACTTTTATAAGGTCTTCACAATAAAGTCAGCTATCTGGACTATTACTAGAGCATGCATCGAGGTAAAGCAAACAACACTAAGAAATGGTTGGAAAAAACTTTGGCCTGCGTCAGGTCTGTTTCCCGAGGAAAATGATTAGGCAGATTTTGAAGGATTTGCAACCAAGAAAGTTAGCTAGAAGAAAAAATTAAGAGAGCAGTCCTAGCCTATGTCAAGGGGATTAAGTCCCCCAAAACTGAGAGCAGAACTGGTTACTAAAACAGATGATATAGACATGTGGATAGATTAGAACCTTTCAAAACATGACTGATGATGAAATTATAGATTTATTTACAGCAAAAATGCCAGAAGAGTGCAATGATGATAATGGGGAGGAAGGGGAAGAGGATGAAGAAGAGTTAAAGGAAAAATGTAATACGAAAAACATTCAGCAACATTTTGAAGACATTCTGGGCATTTATAGAAACGAGTAACAATGAGTTTGAAACTAAGGACATGATGAGCCAGCACAATTTGTATATGAAGTTTCTAAAAACAGGATCAAAGGGACTAAATTAAACATCCACTTCAGTCAACCCATCACCATCAAAAATCCATCTTTTCCATGTAAATAACAATGCACCATCAACAATGATCATCAAGATAGCAAGTGGATCAGGACTTTTCGTATTGGTGGGTACAAACAAAATAACGTCGAATTTATGTTACGAACTTGCCGATTTCTTTCCCATAGATTTAAAAGCCACTTATACGAACACAACAGGTTAACCGGCGGGTTCGCAAAGCACATGGCTGTCTGTATCACATTTGTGTTAAAATAATGGACTGACATCCACACCTGCAGCTTAACAAGCAGTTCAAGTTCATCATACGCTACTTCACTTCCCAAGAATATATGGTATATATAGTCAAATAAAAGTAATGTAGTGCAAACTGTACACATAACCATGACTTGCATAATCGTTTGGCAACATGCAAGTCAAATTTAAGGACGGTAATGTTGTTTGTGAGATTGCCTTGGATGATGCAAGTAAGGCCTTGTAATGGAGGTGACGTGCTTTATCTCCACCAGTCTTAAAACCATGCATAAGGTTAAAGAATATTAGTAAAATTCTCTATACATATGTAGTTTGGATACAAGTGATTTTAAGAGATGAAATAACAAGTATCAAGTTTTAATACAATAAAAGCATAACTTTTTAACATGCAAGTACAGGGCCAAAATAATTTGAACTTGGTATAGGTTAAGTCATGCAAGCTGCATAATCTAAGCAAACTGTTAAGAACACTTCCTGACCAAACTAGCAAGAGCACGAGATGATCAGAGCACTAGCATGACAGGGCACTCGACTCACCTTCCTCTGATATACAGCGATCCAATCTGTCGATGCGAACCACTTGTGATTCTTAATGTCGTTTACAGCATTCTTCAAGTTTCCATACCGCTTAGTTAGATCAACTTGTAGGAGGTTCCTTAGTAGGTCCTTCAAATCAGAAGAGAAATGACCTGGGAACCGCACCTAAAGAGACAATTTGCATTAGGGCAATAGTCCAATTGAAAGGCTGAAAAAGAATACAATTGTATCTATATAAGTGCACGAGTGCATATACAGTATAACTAAAATGAGCACCTGTTTACCTGAAAGTCACCATCTCCAGTGGCCTCAACAGTGAGGCCACTATATAAAAGTATAAGTGATCAGTTCGTAGTTTCTAAAATATTTGAATCGATAAAGATTCAAGATTGTATTTGGCAATACAGTAATATAATCTATATTTGGCAATACTATAATCCATATAAATATTGTAATTTAAATTTAGACCATTAATTTAAAAAAGACCATTCAGTGAGAATTGTACAAAAAAGCAGAAATCATATTTTAGATTTTTACAGTGAATGCAGAATATCAAACAAATAGTCGAGGTCACTGAAAAGCATTACCTTTCCCGAGACAATCTTTTCATATATCTGGATGGGTTGGTCAGCAAAGAACGGAGGGTAGCCAGCAGCCATTTCATAGACCAAGACACCCAAGGCCCACCAGTCCACTGCCTTATTGTAGCCCTGTAAATATACCAAGCTGCTTCAGCTAAGTATTCCAAAAAAGCTAGCAACACACTCTCATTTTTCAACTACTGTAGAGGCAGCACTTCCACAACTATACACAACAACTGTAGTTATTGGGCATCAATTTATGATAAACTTAGGATCAAATTACAACATTTACAGTATATATGATACAGTATATCATACTGGCTACAGCTCAATACTGCATACTGGCTACAGTACAATACTGCATACTGGCTACAATCCAGTACTACATACTGGCTACAGTACAGTACATACTGGCTGATATAAACTCCTAGATCGATCTCACTGTCTGTTTCGTGAAGGACTATGTATATACAGAGAGAGTGTGTGTGTGTGTGTGTGTGTGTGTTTAATATATTATATATATATATATATATATATATATGTATATATGTCGTACCTAATAGCCAGAACGCACTTCTTGGCCTACTATGCAAGGCCCGATTTGCCTAATAGGCCGAGCGATTTTCTTTATTTTCAATAAATTGTTTCAAATTAGTTTATTTGAATTATTATTATTATATTATATTTGGAACGTAAATTATTGACTTAGTGGCGTTAGTTTAGGTTAGGTTTAGATAGGTTAGGTTAGGTAAGGTTGGTTAGGTTTGGTCATATATCTACATTAGTTTTAACTCAAATTTAAAAAAATTAACTTATACATAATGAAATGGACAGATTTAAAAATTCAAATTTTTTACATTTCTCATAATCAGATGATATAACATTACAATATAAAAGCTAAATTACTGATGAAATATTACAATTAAATTTAATAAAAAATGACTTCTCAAGTGCCAACAGACTAAATAATTTAGTACGATTCAGTTTCCACTCATTTTAACCCTTAAACTGCTCAGCATAAGGGGGGTATAATTAAAAAAAATATTCAAATTATGTAAAAATTACTTAAAAATGATAAACAAATCTCCAACTCGTTGGCTTCAGCGTCGAGCAACTTTCATAAAAATATTTTCAGAAACTGATCTTAGACGAATATTTAAAAAAAAAAGAACGTTTTGTTGATAAGGAGAACGGCTCCTGTTAACTGGAACTGATGGATAATGCAATAATAAAGAGATGCAAGCATCTGTCCGACGCACAATGAAGAAGAACAGTAGTAAGAAGTGTCCACAAAGTGGATATACAGCTGGTGCCTTTATAGCATTGGTGAATAATACATAATAACACAAATAATAATAATGACTAAGTTTGACCAGACCACACACTAGAAATTGAAGGGACGACGACGTTTCGGTCCATCCTGGACCATTCTCAAGTCGATTGTGATGAGGACAGGTAGGGACAGGCATTAAATAGGCAAGAGGACCGAAACCAATAGACGGACCGAAACGTCGTCGTCCCTTCAATTTCTAGTGTGTGGTCTGGTCAAACTAATAATGAGTAAGTATGTTATTATGATTTATTTTGTTATATATCATATAAATACATTGCCCAATGTTATAATCAGTTACTTTCAATAATGTCTCCCCCCCAAATTTTTTTTAGGGAAATTTTTTCTTTTGAGGTTTTTAGTTTTTTTTCCTCCTTTGTTTATTATTTGAATATGTTGTAACCTTTACATCCTGGAGAATGCATACCCCTACTTACCTATGTTAAGACAAAACCACTGCACTGCGCAAAGCGCCTTTAGGCGCTCAGAGAGCTGTGCTTTTTGTTTTTTAATTTGGCTATATTTTAATGTTTTTTAATGTTTTCATTACTATTTGTGTTTTGAAATGGAAATAGTTGACTTTGGAAACATTTTGACATTAAATTTACCTGAACATTTGTAAAAATAACAAAAATATGTCCTTGACAATTGCACCAAGACGTTTTTGCCGAAAATAGGTGAGCAGTGCAAGGGTTAAATTGATCAACAAATAAATTTGTCACAACTCTCAGAACTTGGGACTTTGAATTTTTTGGGGCTGAGTTTTTCACAGATTTCCAACTCTATTTTCCTTGTTTCTTTAGGTTGTTTTGATGATTTGGGACCAGATTAGGGCTTGTTTACTTATATAAGGTATACCCTAAATATATCCCTTAAATCATTATAATTACTGTATTATAATTATCCCTATACAGTATTTTGATTTTTTGTAGGGTTATTTTTCTTGACATCATTTCATCACATAGTGACCTACAACTTTCACATGTTTGAGTACGAATGCCAAACAATGTTTATTACAACATACAAGTAAATTCATGAATTAGAACTGCCTTATTCATTGTCGATAACTTCAACTTCAATTATATCTATAACTAGAATTTTAACTTATTTCAGTATCCAAAAATCTAGTTTCTGACCGAGTCTCATCATTTTTACATATAGTGTGCACAGCTTTCTGTTCTACAATCCCCATAGAATTGATTTTTTATAAACTTTAAATGTTTGGAGTTATAAATTTTTGTTGTTTAAATATGCGCATATTTCAAATGTCATATTGACAAATTTTTGTTACAGTAAACTATACTGAAAACCTATATTCTAAATATATGAAAATGAAGATCATATGCTATTCTGAGAGCATAATAACACATAATGAACAGTTGGTGATATTTTATATTTTTTGCAGCAGATTTCAAAATCTGAAGTTTTCAATATTCAATTTTATAATCATTTTTTATTTTCTTGTTTTTCAAGTTACACTGATATCATTTAGACAAAGTTGGAGCATTTGCTTAGTAGATTATGCACAAAACATTTTCAAATGTTTCAGAAAATTTAAAAAACTGAGCTCAATGTCACACATCATATGACGTTTTGTGCAGTTTAAGGGTTTAGCACAATATAGGACTATAAAATACTGCACTTTAACATGCATTAACATAAAATACTAAATTATTTATGAACAAAACACAGTGAATAATATTTAATTACAGAATTATTATTTTTCTTTATTTATGTTATATGACAAAACCAATAATGTAAGGAAAAGAAATTAAGCAACAATTATTTTTGTTACACAATGACTTTCATAAGTAATACTGTAATACATGACTGGTCAATTGAATAACCAAGGAAAGAGATTCCATGGATCCAAAAAAATCACCATACCTTAGAAAGAATTATCTCTGGGGCTAGGTACTCTGGGGTTCCACACAGCGTCCACGTTCGTCCCTTGACTCGCTTGGCAAACCCAAAGTCTGTCACCTAAAAAACAAAACTCCTTGGTTATGTTGACTGGAGCTGCAAGAGTAATGCGAATGTGGCAACACTGCCACCGAAATAAATATTCTTACATGTACAGAGTAAGTTTTTTTTTTTTAACATGAAATGTCTTTAGGTCTAACTTACCTAATTATTAAAATATAATTGCTATAAGTAATAAAATCACAATCATGAAACAATCCTGTACAATTGCTTTGAGAAACTTAATTAATACCAATACAGTACTTCGGGAAAAACTAACAGATGGGCCCCAGAACAGGAGGCAAGACAACGGTGTCAGCAGAGAACGCCACATTGTAGCCAAAGAACATAAGGTAAGGATCACACCAGGACTCAGAACCCAAGCCAGAAAAACAACAGAAATATGAAAAAAGTAGATAATGCAGACCAAAACAAAAATGGTGGAATCCAGAACTGAAAGAAAACCCAGAAACAGCAGTGAAAAAAAGATGGGAATGGCAAAACTGTGATGCCAACCACAGTACAGGCTGCCAGGTTTGGCACCAACTGGGAGAGAACCACATCCATTTGAAGGGGGTGGGAGAAGGTTAAATTTCTTCCAGTAGTTCATATAGACGAACAGCCTGAAGAACTACCAGGAAGGACCACAAGAGATATAATATGGATAAACATGAGGAAAGCAAATGACCAAATAGACTAAGGAAAGTAAATCACCACTGAGAAGCTTGGAAACCTGGTGACTCTCACAAAGTCAAGAACAAACAGAACTGCCCACAGGGTAAAGGAGTGGTTGAATCAACTGCTGTTCAGGTAATGGGCAACAGAAGTGGAGTAGAATCTATAATCATTACCACTTCTATTACTATAACAGCACTGGAGATAGATGCATCCGATACCTGCAGGGTCTAAATCTTGGCTTGTTTCAGTTGCTTGGCCAGTGGCAGGGGCTGGAAAGCACAATGAGCAGAGGCCAGATAACAGCAAAACAAGGAACAGTAGAAGGAAAAGGCTCAAAGTTAAGGTAAGTCATATTATTTTTATTTTATTATTTTTTATTTATGCATATACAAGAATGTACATATGGAAAACAAAGTCTTTCTCAAAGAAAAGGGTAGAATTCCCTGTCTCCGTATCAGCCAATAACTAAAGGCTGCAAATGCTTGTACCTATAATGATGATCTAACAAGGAAGCTGTAGACAGATACATTATTACCCAAATAATTATCAAAAGAAGACACCAAGCCGGGAAGGCTATGTAGCACGATCATTACACAAGAGTAGGGAGTTTCAGCCAAAGCAGAAGTCAAGCAATGACAAGCATTGCTCACTTGCATGTGGAGGACCAATAAACCCAACAAGTCTGAGTGATGGCACAGCAGGAATGACCAACACTTTCAAAAACACTGAAATAAATAAGAGAAAGCTGCAAGGACTAAAATGCAACACTGAATTGAAAAGTGAATACATGTTGACCAGATCAGCTGAGAAATGAGGTAAACCAAGGTCCTCCTAATTACCCAAAGCTACTCAAAGCTATTCAAAGCTTCCTAATATTACATTAGTAATGATTAAATATATATTTATTTATTATAATGTTGGTGCTAAATGTAGAACATGGGAAACCATATTTTTACTCTGAAAAGTATCATTTCATAACAAAATTAGATGAAAATAAGCTGCTGGTGATGCCAAAGCAAGTCGACGGTCCAAGCGACAATATTGTGGAGCGACTTATCCAAGACACATTGTTGCTTGGAGGGTGTTTGCTGGCATATCAGCCTTCTGTACCTACCTAACCTAACCAACCTACCCAAACATAACCAAACATAACCAAACAAAACATAATCTAACCTAACTAAATCTAACCTATCCAAACCTAGCTTAATATAATCTGTAAAGATCAATATATCTTGGATAAGTCGTTCCACAACATTGTCGCTTGGATCGTCTACTTCCTATGGCCTCTCATGCCACTTAGTTTCGTCTAATTTCATTATAAGCTTGTATTATTTCAGAGTAAAAATTTGTTTTTTCATATTCTACTTTCAGCAACAACGTTATAGTGAGTAAATATATCATATTTCTTCATTAGTTACGTAATACTAGGAAGCTTTGGGTAGCTTTGGGTAATTAGATAGACTGGTAAACCATCCTTAGATGAGCACAGGCAGATTGTTTGGGCCATAAACATGCTTGAATGTACCGAACCAAACCTAACGACCTAGGCTTTAGTACAGTACATACACTGTACCAAATTAGACCCAAGATTGCATGTTAGGCCTGTGACAGGTTAAGTTTGGTTTATGGTTAGGTTGTTTCGGTTTTTGATATACCCTTTAGAATTCAAATATTACAGAATGTAGACTTTTTAGGTACAACAGTCCAGATTTTGGACATTTCATCCACAGTAGCTAGCGGTACTATAGTTTTTGGCAGATGGGTTGATCTCATAGGAGCTAATAGAAATAAATCAGCATAGCAAAACCATTTGCCCAAGAGGTATCCTAACCTATGTGACTGCAACACTAAAAATTCTATTATATCATCTGAGACAATGTACACACTCTTGGATTTAGCCTAAAATAAAAAGTAGAAATACACTAAGTACATGTAAGACTAACCTTGAGGTATCCTTGGCTGTCTATAAGTAGGTTCTCTGGTTTGAGATCTCTGTATATGAGATCAAGGTAGTGGAGGTATTCAAATGCTAGCACGATCTGGGCCGCATAGAACCGAGAGTGAGGCTCACTGTAGAGATTGCGGAAAGAGAATCATGTGTTAGTGAGATGTATTCAAAGCTGTGTTCAAAGCCAATTCATTGTTATATATACTTACCCTGGAACACATGAAATATGAAGTAATTTTCAATGACATTCATCATTAAATTAAACTTTTAAGATATTTTACTCTGCACTAATGAGAAATTCTTGTTAGTTATGGCTTACCTTAAAGTTAACCATATTAACACCCCCTGTAGAAACACGATCCCCATACAGTACAGCATGTACTTATAAATCACATTCAAACATAACATTAGTATTACCTAATTCTGTTAAATATAAATATTACAATTTAAATTAGCTAGATCTGAAAAATAATAAACAATATTTCTGAATTTACCTTAGCACCTCCATTTCTAGTGGCCTTGGTGGGAACAGGCAAAGATTCCCCCATTATCCCTGAGAATATTTACCCATTCAATTTTAAACTAAAGGCATGTATGACTTTGGCAGGTAGATGATTCTTTGGGTTTACTGCCCTATGGGTGGAAAAGCATCTGCTTTCTGTCCTACATTGTTGTGGTTTGTTAAGCTTGAAGCCATTGCTCCTTGTATGCATTTACTGGGCTTTAAAAAAAAAAGTGGTTCCAATTAATAATTTCCAATTTGCTCAATACCAGTATTATATAGTTCTCAATGAGTCAGCCCTGTTGACCAAACCACACACTAGAAAATGATGGTTCGAAACGACAACGTTTCGGTCCGTCTTGGACCGTCCTGGACCAGCCCTGTCCTGTCTGTTATGTAATGTTATTAGTCCTGAGGCCCTCAACTGATCCTGCTGTGAGAGTTGGCTATGTTCTGGGATGATTTTTGTCACTGTTGAACTTCATCCACAGCAGATACTGTGCTGTATGTCCTGTTGAAGGTGAAGTCTCCATGCTTGTACCTGCATGGAGTTCTGGGAGGTCTTCTACTTCCCAAGCTGGGATGCAACAAGCTTGGACCAACAGACTGCTGAGTACAGTAGTTCAGAAGAGGAACACCAGAGTACAGTTAAATGACCACAATTTTCCCTGAACACAAGGTTCTTCCATCCTTGAAGGAAGGTTCTTTTGGTTATATATAAGGTTAGGTGGGCTCTGTTTTACTACAGCTCTCACTAGTTGAGCAGTTTTCAAGGACTGATCACAACTGCTTGCTTCTTTTCTTCTTCAATCTGTTGGATGGTCATGATGTTTATATGATTGTTATGATGTGCATTATTATACCCTAAATGCAAGGCTTTCAATTTTTCAGTATTGGAAAGCATTTGTCCATCTTCTAATCATTATATATTAATATATATTAAGTTGGATTTATTTTACCAAAAATTTCCTCCTATGTTTTATCCTTTTGGTCTGAGTTGATATAACATCCCCAGATTTTCTTGTGTCTATGAAGAGGGCCAGATTTTGGTCTTTGCTAAGTGCCCCTGGCTCACAAGATCCTAGTGGGGTGATTTAGGCTTGGGGCTAAGCAAGTAGCTTGGGACAGCTTGGGCTGCCACCGAAGGCCCGAAACCACAAAAATGTTAGCTGTGTAAGAAATGTGGGTCATGTGCAAATGAAGTAGTTTTCAATTTGCAGATTATGAGTCACAATAACGTGGTTGAAGATATGATGACTAAACCACACCTCAGAAGACAAAGAAACGACGATGATAATGGTCCAGGACGAACCGAAACGTTGTCGTCTCTTAATATTCTGGTGTGTGGTTTGGTCATCAAGTAGTTTGTTCACTGTACATATGAATGTTCATACGCATGCTAAATTTTGCTACAGTCTTCAGTCTGATGAGACTAATTAAACGTTTGGGCAATATGCTGAACAGGTACAGTATATGATTCTGTACTTTCACCAAGCACATTTAAGAATGACTATGAGGGGACAGTTATGAACACAAACATTCAGATGCATCACATAGAGCCATGAAGCATGATGCCGTGAATTTTTTGGATAATGATTTCTACATGTCACAGTATCTGTATACACCTTCTGCTTTCCCATTTCCTGGTTCTAAAAAATTTTGTGCAATGTCTCACTATTCTAAATACAAAATAATTACTGATCAAAGAAATTCTTTTATTGGGTTTTATCTTATTACTGTTACTAAATATACCAAAGGGTAGTTTTTGTTATATTCAGACATTATGAATTTAGAAGGGTTGTGCTCATAGTCAGACAAAGTCACTTTTATTTATAAGGAAAAACACAGTCTGGATAATCAGTATTAACATGTAAATACTAAGCACTAGTTTAAATTTGTTATAAGGACATACCAATAAGTATGCTAGGCTCTGTAATCACACACACTATTCTCTGCTAGGTTCCAATGAAAATACACACTATTAATGTACACTGTTGTAAGTATACTGTACATACATCAATCAATGTTGAACATGCATACATTAGTGCATGTCCATACAAAATGACTGCATATTCCTAACAAATGATAAGAGGATACAATTTGGGAGCCACTACCAGACGCAACAGAGGGCAGGTTAATGAGAACACCACCATGCAACACACCACATGACCACATCAACATACCATGCAACACACCACACGACCACATCAACATACCATGCAACACACCACACGACCACCACATCAACATACCATGCAACTCACTACAGGACCACCACATCAACATACCATGCAACTCACTACAGGACCACCACATCAACATACCATGCAACTCACTACAGGACCACCACATCAACATACCATGCAACTCACCACAGGACCACCACATCACCAAGATACCATGCGACACACCACAGGACCAACATGCAACTCACTACAGGACCACCACATCAACATACCATGCAACTCACTACAGGACCACCACATCAACATACCATGCAACTCACTACAGGACCACCACATCAACATATCATGCAACTCGCCACAGGACCACCACATCACCAAGATACCATGCGACACACCACAGGACCAACATGCAACTCACTACAGGACCACCACATCAACATACCATGCAACTCACTACAGGACCACCACATCAACATATCATGCAACTCGCCACAGGACCACCACATCACCAAGATACCATGCGACACACCACAGGACTAACACATCAACATACAGCACAATACATCTACAAGCTAATGGGTATTATAGTTAAAACAATTTGGAGCTCCACATGAGAGCCTCCTCAGCTACAGCATCACATGAGAACATACCCATTTACATCATCATATGAAAACCTTCCCATCTACAGCATCACATGAGAACCTTCCCATCTACAGCATCACATGAGAACCTACCCATCTACAGCATCATCTATGAACTTTCCCATCTACATCTCCCTAATATTTACAACTGCTTAATATTACAAATTTCTTTTTTTCTATCTTGCACGGTACATTTACTTAACATTTAAAAAGCAAATATTCCTGTTAATGAACAAATCCACAAGGGCCGTGACGAGGATTCGAACCTGCATCCGGGAGCATCCCATACACTGCCTTAATCGACTGAGCTACGACAGGGTAAAAGGGTTTGTGTAAAAGCCTGGTTTGTGCCTCGGAGAGGCTACGGATCCAGTAAGTTCAGTAGAACTTCGGTTTCAACCCTTTTACCCTGTCGTAGCTCAGTCGATTAAGGCAGTGTCTGGGATGTTCCCGGACACAGGTTCGAATCCTCGTCACGGCCCTTGTGGATTTGTTCATTTGATGCACCACGTTAGTGTGATCTCTGTGTGTGATTCCTGTTAATGACAACAAACATTTGCAGATTTGTCATCAGGTGTTAATAAAGCAGATGATCTATAATTACTGATAATAATGTACAGTAATGCTGATCCAAACAAACTAGATCAATATTATTATTATTAATATAAGATTTATGTTTAAGAAGCAGTGGTAATGAAAGTAAGACATTTTTATTATTATTATATTTAACTGACACCTTTATCGAAATGCTATACATTAAACCGTCACTATGCAGTGCATTCATACAATTGTTCTCACAAAAAAAAAAAAAAAAATCTCCACGTGCATACCTTTTTTAAGATTCATCAATCTATGATCTCAATCTAATTCTTCCGTGATTATGCACCCCATACTCATCCCGTGAGCAGTGGTGGAAAGGGTTACAGAGGCACATACCAGTATTGTACTAGGTCATACAAACAATCTAAAATAACAAAGAGGAGTAGAGAGGCAGACAAGGCATATAAAGCACTAGGTCAAGACTACAGCATGCAGCACACTTGATGATGCGTCTTGCGAGACTCCTTCATCATCATGATGAGCATCATTTACCTTAACAGTAATGCTTATACTGTACAAGAATAACGACTGGCATGCTTGTCTAAGAAATTAAGTAACAGTTATCACTGTATATAACTGATGCTCTAATCCCATCACACGATGTTCTAATCCTATCACATGATGCTCTAATCCCATCACACGATGTTCTAATCCCATCACACAATGCTCTAATCCCATCACACGATGTTCTAATCCCATCACACGATGTTCTAATCCCATCACACAATGCTCTAATCCCATCACATGATGTTCTAATCCCATCACATCAGCAAATCAGTGTTCAATGAGCCAAAGCATGACTTTGGCTTTGGTGTTTATGCAGTAAAATTATAAACCAAAAAATAAAAGTAGAAAAACATTAATGACTTCAGGTAGCATTTATTTTAAATTTGAAGTACGATGACATGAACAAAAATGCCAGAGATGGTATAAGTAAGCATTTGAAGTTAGAAAAACCATCTGGTAAGTGCAAAGTGAAGTACTGGTGCAGTGTTGGTGGTCAACACATTGTTATCACACTACTGTCCAGTCACTCTCTCTTAATATTAACTGTATACATTAGTTATGGTTACACCAGTCATTGTGGTGTTAATATTAACCGTATACAATAGTTATGGTTTCACGAGTTATTGTGTAAAAGTCAAGTTGGGATATTCAACTATTTACAGTTGTCAGCTATGATGGCTTTAGTTTTGTTGAGTCCAACACACAATGTGTACTAAGAGGAGTGGTCTGTTTAAGACTATTACTACATCACATAAATCTCTTGTCACAACAGTATAAAAATAAATAATATCAAGCATCTAAGATGGGAAACAAAATATAATAAAATGATCCGAACTACACTGCTGCCAAACACAAACTAGCACGTCAACTAATGACTATCTTTTGTTAACTATATAAAAGAAGAATCAGACCAGCAGGTGTATATAGTTCTGCCATGCTCAAGTCTCTTCAAGTACTGTGGGAGACTGAAAGCACTGCAATACAATACAATAAGGCCAGAGTGTCTGTGGCTGAGGGAGTGCTAATGGGTGCAGTAGTCAGAGCAAGTGAGCCACACACTCTTACCTAAACCTGCCAATCTTTCTGAGATGAGAGAACATCTCGCCACCCGGCACGTACTCCAACACCATGTACAAATTGGAATTATCCTGAAATGTTGGAGAAATGGATATACACTGACTTGAGCCATCTCTGTTAGTGCTTTATGTTAGTACTGTAGAAACTATTAGTACTTAACATTACAGAGTGGAAGATGCATAACCCAAACATTTTGTCATCATCTATCCTACAAGATGACTACCATCATCTTTGGGTATTGTATCAAAGTGACACTACAGTTTAATAATACATTCAGTTTATAACTACAAACATTAAACGAATGACATAATTAATGCAGCAGCCTCTAAATGTATTACTTAACCGCAGGTGGGAAATATAAAAAAAAGGCCCCCATACACAATTAGGTTGGGGATGGTGGTTGACGGCCCCACAAGGTCCAGACATCCTCTCGGCAGGTGTGGTCAGCTAGGAGGGTAACCAAACACAGTCATAATAAAACCGGTGTGACAGCAGTACAAGTTAGTAGTTACCTAAATCTTCCCAAGCGGCGCAAGTGTGAGAACATCTCACCCCCGGGAACATACTCAAGGACCATGTATAAATTGGTGTTATCCTGCAAGTATAATAATATTAATGATGAGGAGCATTCTACTTACTGGAGAATGCGAGGTTGGGAGGCATACACCAGGGAGGAGGTAGCATACCAGGGAGAGGTAAGAGATGGAGGTATACCAGGGAGGTGGGGGAGAAAAGGTACAAAATGATGTATGGGATAAACAGCTGGAGCGAGCAGGACAAAATGGAGGCTGGGGGGAAGAGGACAAAGAATGGAAGGAAGAAAACATCACAAAAGGAAAAATTATATTTATGCAGTAAAAAATATCAAAATGAATGAAAAAAAAAAAAACATTTCAAACTATGACAGAAAACAAAACAAAAACTGACTGAATTGGAGTGAATGGGGTGAGCATACTTATGAACGTGAATAAGGTAATAAGTGAACATCTAAGGTGTAGATGACGAAGCAATGGAATAGGAAGTAGGAGACGAGCAATAAATGTGAGAAACACACGAGTCACATCCAGAGAAAGTACACCAAATGGGAAAAAAATCTCCACTGTAAAAATACAATTACAGTAACAAGTAAGAAAAATATGGAGACCTGAAAGAAATAATTACAGTACAATATTATATTACAGTACAATATTCACTCTGTTTTAGGAGAAAAAATAAAATCAACTAAAAATTTAAAATTTAAAATTTTTTGAGTGAAACAAATATGCCAACCAGAATTATGCAAAAAATAAATAAAAAAAGTTAAATATAAATAGATCAGTATTGTTCTGGAGGAAAAACAACAAATATTACATATATGTAAAGGGACACTGTGTGTGTGTCAAGAACATGGAAATATAAAGTAACATTAAAGTGATCTAATCTAATGGGTACTCTAGCCTAAGAAACTAATTCTATAAACATTAAGAGGCGCAGCACTGTTCAACACCCCTCCCATTAAATACAAGGTGCATAACTAACCGACCATTGACAAGTATTCCGAAGGAAACTTTATCAATGTCTCCACAGGGTACCTGGATCACCCAGACTGTGATTCATACATCAGACTGTGTGCAAGTCTCCCAACAGCCTGGTTGATCAGACCATGAACCAGGAGGCCCTGGCAAGTGGCCCAACAATGAGGCCACTGATCCTCTGAACCACATCAAGGTAACGAGTAATGTACACACACTAATTAATACTTGAGAATGCCAGACGCTGACTAATACTTGAGAATGCCATCCTCCAAAAAGATGAACTAGTACATGAAGCTGTAACAGCTCCCCCAGGAGCCTTTATACATTCACCATTCACCTTATACATGCACACACTTTTCATTGTAAAAATATTTCACCACTGAGCCTGCAAATTTACACCCCCTATACCAAAATACAGTATGTTCAAATTTCATAAAGACGAGTCCACCTCCACAATTTTCACCCATTCAGATTCCGGTCTGGCCCCAAAGTGTTTAACCTGGAGGCCCGAGTGATGCGCATATCATGCACTGAGCCACACCCACAGTGCCTGAAACAAGCACTGAGCCACACCAAGGGGGGGGCCTAACAGCTGAGTGGACAGCGCTTCAGATTCATAGTCCTGAGGTTCCAGTTCGATCCCCGGTGGAGGCAGAGACAAATAATCAAAATGTTTCTTTCACCCTGATGCCCCTGTTATCTAGCAGTAAATAGGTACCTGGGAGTTAGACAGCTACTACGGGCTGCTTCCTGGGGGGTGTTTAACAAAAAGGAGGCCTGATCGAGGACCAGGCTGTGGGGACACTAAGCCCCGAAATCATCTCAAGATCACCTCAAGATACTGTGCAGGCACATTACTGCTCATTTCAACCATGCACAGGCAGTCAACATCACCCCGCACTCACACGTACAAACACACTTTCTATAACTCAGACATAAATAAAACCGAGTGTAGGTATAAAAGCACTTGCCAAACCTGGCACCATGGTGGAGGATAAGAAGCATCACAGAGGGGTGCCTATTCTGGGAGACAACAAACAACGCAGGCATGCCACCACTTCCGCACCCCAGGCAGTGGCTCAGCATTCCTCCCAACCTATCAACACTGCTAGCCCTCAGTATACCACCCAAGCCTTCACCAACACTAAGGTAGCCCTCAGTATACCACCCATGCCTTCAACACTAATGTAGCCCTCAGTATACCACCCAAGCCTTCAACAACACTAAGGTATACCTCAGTATACCTCCCAAGCCTTCACCAACACTATGGTATACCTCAGTATACCTACCCAGCCTTCACCAACACTAAGGTAGCCCTCAGTAAACCTCCCAACACTACGTGTGTATACATACACACTATTCAAACACACTCATTATTACCAGTGAATACCCTTCCGATATATGTCGGAAATGTGCGTAAGGTTGAAAGGAGCAACTCAAAACGGTTCGAGCCCCATCCCTGGAAACCATGGATAGGTAAGTTTGTGCAACACACACACACACACAGTGTTTACTAGAGTTGGATGTAACAAAGGCTATAGGCCCAGATGGAATCTCCCCTTGGATACTAAAGGAAGGAGCAGAAGAGCTGTGCCTACCACTCTCCATAGTGTATAACAAATCACTGGCAACAGGGGAACTGCCAGAAATTTGGAAAGCAGCTAATGTCGTCCCAATATACAAGAAAGGGGATAGACAGGAGGCACTGAACTACAGGCCAGTGTCCCTAACCTGCTTACCATGCAAGTAAATGGAGAAGATTGTGCGCAGAAAGCTAGTGGAACATCTGGAGCGAAAGAACTTTGTAACACAGCATCAACATGGGTTCAGGGATGGCAGGTCCTGCCTCACAGGGTTACTTGAATTCTACGACCAGGCAACAAAAATAGGGCAAGAAAGAGAAGGGTGGGCAGACTGCATATTTTTGGATTGTCTGAAAGCCTTTGATACAGTACCACACAAGAGGCTAGTGAAAAAGCTGGAGATGCAGGCTGGAGTGAAAGGGAAGGTATTCCATTGGATAAAGGAGTGCCTAAGCAACAGGAGACAACGAGTCAGTGTGAGGGGTGAGGTCTCAGATTGGCGTGACGTTACAAGTGGAGTCCCGCAGGGGTCAGTCCTTGGACCTATACTGTTTCTGATATATGTAAATGATCTCCCAGAAGGTATAGACTCGTTTCTCAAAATGTTTGCTGATGATGCAAAAATTACGAGGATTGAAACAGAGGATGATGATAGGAGGCTACAAGATGATCTAGACAGACCGAGTGAATGGTCCAACAAATGGCTGTTGAAGTTCAACCCGAGTAAATGCAAAGTAATGAAACTAGGCAGTGGAAACAGGAGGACAGACACAGGATACAGAATAGGAGATGAAGTACTTAATGAAACGGACAGAGAAAGATCTAGGAGTTGATATCACACCAAACCTGTCTCCTGAAGCCCACATAAAAAGAATAACGTCTGCGGCATATGCAAGGCTGGCTAACATCAGAACAGCGTTCAGGAACCTGTGTAAGGAATCATTCAGAATCTTGAACACCACATATGTAAGTCCAATCCTGGAGAATGCGACCCCAGCATGGAGCCCGTACCTTGTCAAGCACAAGACGAAGCTGGAAAAAGTCCAAAGGTAGGCCACTAGACTAGTTCCAGAACTAAGAGGCATGAGTTACAAGGAAAGGCTGCGGGAAATGCATCTTATGACACTGGAAGATAGAAAAGGGGAGACATGATCACAACCTACAAAGTCCTCAGGGGAATCGACTGGGTAAACAAGGATAAACTATTGAACACTGGTGGGACGCGAATAAGGGGGGACAGGTGGAAACTGAGTACCCACATGAGCCACAGGGACGTTAGAAGGAACTTTTTCAGTGTCAGAGTAGTTAACGGATGGAATACATTAGGCAGTGATGTGGTGGAGGCTGACTCCATACACAGTTTCAAATGTAGATATGATAGAGCCCAGTAGGCTCAGGAACCTGTACACCAGTTGATTGACAGTTGAGAGGCGGGACCAAAGAGCCAAAGCTCAACCCCCGCAAGCGCAAATAGATGAGCACACACACATATGTACAGATATTCAAACATTCCATGATTCCCATCTTCAAGATCTCAATTGAATCATACTTCACAAACAAGTCGCCATTACAATTATACTACGACTGAATCCCCAACCACTTGGGCTGGACGGTAGAGCGACTGTCTCCCTTCATGCAGGTCGGCGTTCAATCCCCGACTGTCCACAAGTGCTTGGTCACGATTCCTCCCCTCCCACTCACTGGCCCTCGAGTCGTCCTCCAGCTCCTAAGCCCCCCGGACAACATACCTAATAATTTCCCGCAATTGGCCTGGTCTCGGCCGGAGGAGAAGCCAATGGCAGATACCGTATGACACCACACGATATGGAGGTGGGGAGTGTGGCAGCATCACAACCACAGGAGGGAGGGAGAGAGCGAGAGAGCCATAAACAGTTGGACACAGTTGTCAGAACAAAATAGTTTACCTTGAAATGGAACTCTAAGGAGACGAGGAAGGGGAAGGTGATGGCTTGCAATATGCGCTTCTCGTTCAGCGTGTGTTCCACCTGTTTCAACTTAACCACCTGCAACAAACAAAACTGTATTACATCTCGGCTACAACATTTTGTACACTGGATAATCAAGAGCACGCGGGCAGGTATTATTATGTAGCATAACACATATATACATTAATTTAAACACAACGTTTCATACGCGCGGAATGAGACCCGCTGTATGACGTTTATCAAATATACACAAATAACTGTTTATGATCAACTCAAAAATAATTCACCTTGAAATTGGAATGATAAATTATGATTCATGTATACCAATGAAAAGCAGATGAAAAAACTGGGGGGGCCCCCCCACCCGACACAGGGGGGGCCCCACCCGACACTGGGGGGTGTAAATAATAATAATAGTTAGTAAACAGTTGAGAGGCGGGCCGAAAGAGCACAGCTCAACCGCCGCAAACACAAATAGGTGAATACACACACCGACACCCACACACACCGACACCCACACACACCGACACCCACACACACCGACACACAGCTGCTGCTGGGAGGCCAGGAGGAAATTACTGAAGAAGTGAGGACTCCCATGAACTGAAGAGCTTGCCAGCGGGCGCTGGGCGTGTCCCCTGGTGGATAACACCACCTCGTTCTGGGACACTGTTTTGCTGCTCTTCTTAGAGCCTTGTTTTGCGCTGCTTGTAGTCTTGCTTGATGGGTTTCTGAGAGTTCTTTTCCTCCCCCAAGCCCGGCCCGAGGCCAGGCTTGACTTGTGAGAGTTTGGTCCACCAGGCTGTTATAGCGAGTCACTGTGAGGGGTGAGGTCTTAGATTGGCGAGACGTCACCAGTGGGGTCCCGCAGGGGTCAGTCCTTGGACCTATACTGTTTCTGATATATGTAATTGATCTCCCAGAGGGTATATAATGATTCCTCTCATTGTTTGCTGATGATACAAAAATTATGAGGAGGATTAAGACGGAGGAAGATAGTATGAGGCTACAAGATGACCTAGACAGACTGAATGAATGGTCTAATAAATGACTACTAAAGTTCAACCCGAGTAAATGTAAGGTAATGAAACTAGGCAGTGGAAACAGGAGGCCAGACACAGGATACAGAATGGGAGATGAAGTCCTTCATGAAACAGACAGAGACAAAGATCTAGGAGTTGATATCACACCAAACCTGTCTCTTGAAGCCCACATCAAAAGAATAACATCTGTGGCCAATGCGAAGCTAGCTAACATCAGAACTGCCTTCAGGAACCTGTGTAAGGAATCATTCGAAACCTTGTATACCACATATGTAAGACCAATCCTGGAGTATGCGGCCCCAGCATGGAACCCGTACCTTGTCAAGCACAAGGCGAAGTTTGAAAAAGTTCAGAGATATGCCACTAGGCTAGTCCCAGAACGAAGAGGCATGAGTTATGAGGAAAGGCTGTGTGAAATGCACCTCACGATACTAAAAGACAGAAGAGTAAGGGAAGACATGATCACTATCTACAAAATTCTCAGAGGAATTGACAGGGTAGATAAACTGTTTAACACGGATGGTACGCGAACAAGGGGCCACAGGTGGAGACTGAGTACCCAAATGAGCCACAGGGACGTTAGAAAGAACTTGTTCAGTGTCAGAGTAGTTAACAAATGGAATACATTAGTCAGTGATGTGGTGGAGGCTGACTCCATACACAGTTTTAAATGTCGATATGATAGAGCCCAGTAGGCTCAGGAACCTGTACACCTGTTGATTGACAGTTGAGAGGCGGGACCAAAGAGCCAGAGCTCAACCCCCGCAAGCAGAACTAGGTGAGTACACACACACACACACACACACACACACACACACACACACACACACACACACACACACACACACACACACCCTCTTGCCATATGTAAAGTTATATCATTCAAGTTAAACAAACTTTCTTATCTGCTTTAAACGGAATTTGCTCAATTACTCAAATGATTTGTTTGAGTGTAACTACAATTGGGTCTCCACTGATACCAGTTGTATACCTTGTTGAAGACACCTGCCCGACTGTGAGGGTGGGGTAGCTAGAGCACACGGCGACGCTAGCACGCTGTTCCTTAAGTATCTCTTAAACAACTCATCCAGAATAGCCTTGTTTAGCCTCCGTTTGAGTTGTTTTGTGATTAAGGCAATTCTTCCTACCCTCCTCCTCCCTCCCTCCTTTCTCTCACTGCCTCTCTGTGACTTCTCACATCTCCTCTCTCCCTTCTCTCTACCTCCCTCCCTCTTCTCATTCGCTGCTCGTTCTTGCCCTCAAAATATTGCCCTTCCCCAGAGTGACTCCCCATGTTTTTACATCATAAAACAGCCGTTATCCCAGGTCTTTTTAACTCGTAAAACGGTTTCAATTAATAAAAAAAAGCTTACTATTATGACGAACAAAAAAAAGTTTTGTTATTTTCATATAAATGAATTATTACTTTCGCTACGCGATTTTTTTTTTCAACCTGTCTTTGAGCCCCACAAAAGGCCCACGAAATTATTTTTACTCTGGATTTAGCAGCCTTTGGCTTTTATATATGTTCATTTTTTACCAATAGCTTTTTTTCAGTCATTTTAGTTTACAATTTCTGTGGATATTTTCCCTAGTTTCTAATTTCATTTTGTATCAATTTTATTGTGACGAACAGATTTGTCCTCGTCCTCTATTTCCACTGTGGGAGTGCCTGGGTGTTGCCACCAGGCTGGCACTCCCCACTGTGGGAGTGCCTGGGTGTTGCCACCAGGCTGGCACTCCCCACTGTGGGAGTGCCTGGGTGTTGCCACCAGGCTGGCACTCCCCACTGTGGGAGTGCCTGGTTGCTGCCACCAGGCTGGGACACCCCACTGTGGGAGTGCCTGGTTGCTGCCACCAGGCTGGGACACCCCACTGTGGGAGTGCCTGGTTGCTGCCACCAGGCTGGGACACCCCACTGTGGGAGTGCCTGGGTGTTGTCTTACAGGACACTGGTATCCTGTATCCTACTATGCTCACCGCAGTCAAGGCACAGCCACTGAAATGTGATTTCTCAAAGGCAAATATTTTGCCTGTGATAAACTCTACGGACGTCATTTGTCACATTTCAGTGTCTAGCTGGGCGCGGTGCGAGCCTTCACCGTCACAAGACCCAGCAAAACCCGCAGGTCTTACCTGGGGTTTACCTGGAGGGCGTCTCGGGAGTTCTTCTACTCCCGCTCTAGGAGCCAGGCTCCACTTACGATAACTTGGTCCACCAGGCTGTTGCTTGGAGCGGCCCGCAGGCCCACATACCCACCACAGCCCGGTTGGTCCGGCACTCCTTGGAGGAATAAATCTAGTTTCCTCTTGAAGATGTCCACGGTTGTTCCGACAATATTTCTTATGCTCGCTGGGAGGACGTTGAACAACCGCGGACCTCTGATGTTTATACAGTGTTCTCTGATTGTGCCTATGGCACCTCTGCTCTTCACTGGTTCTATTCTGCATTTTCTTCCATATCGTTCACTCCAGTATGTTGTTATTTTACTGTGTAGATTTGGGACCTGGCCCTCTAGTATCTTCCAGGTGTATATTATTGGGTATCTCTCTCGTCTCCTTTCTAGTGAGTACATTTGGAGAGCTTTGAGATGATAGTGCTAGAACTTGTCTAATTTGTTCTTGAAGAGAACACTCCCACCGTGGAAGAGGTGGCACTATGCCTGGTGCCAGAAGGCCGGTGGCACTATGCCTGGTGCCAGAGGGCCGGTGGCACTATGCCTGGTGCCAGGGGGGCCGGTGGCACTATGCCTGGTGCCAGGGGCCGGTGGCACTATGCCTGGTGCCAGGGGGCCGGTGGCACTATGCCTGGTGCCAGAGGGCCGGTGGCACTATGCCTGGTGCCAGAGGGCCGGTGGCACTATGCCTAGTGCCAGAGGGCCGGTGGCACTATGCCTGGTGCCAAGGGGGGCCAGTGGCACTATGCCTGATGCCAAGGGGGACGGTGGCACTATGCCTGGTGCCAGGGGGGGGGCCGCAGCGCGCGCCTCTGACACACGCGAGGACCACCTCCGCCTGGCACCTGGCGAGTTACCAACCACGACAGCCGGCTAGGCCAGCTCTGGCCCCTCTGTGAACATATCCCCCGTCACCTCTGACCACAATGTATCCATCCTTGTGTTCCTTAGGGCTATGGTCGCCGCCCATACCAGGTGTACTGGGGTTGACTAACCCCTGGGCCACATACCTGGTCCACACACCTGGGACACACCAGGCTTGAAGGGGAAAATATTCCTCCCCCCTCAAACATGCCCCTGCCCCTCAGTACCCCCCCCCCGTCCCCAGCCCACCTACACCCAACATATTCAGTACCCACGATGGCTATTCCTATCATGAGCGGTCTATGGCAGACTAGGGAGAGCCCCGCTTGGTGGCCAGGTGGAGAGGGGGGGGTGGAGAGCAAAGGCGAGAGGGAGGGAGGGAGGGAGGGAGCGAAGGAGGGGGAGGGGGAACAGTGACAGTGACCGAGCGAGAGAGCTATTACACACAAAATTTTATTACACACACACACACACACACACACACACACACACACACACACACACACACACACACACACACACACACACACACACACACACAGTTGGAGCAACAGGCAGGAGTAAAAGGTAAGGTGCTCCAGTGAATAATGGAGTATCTAAGCAACAGGAAACAGCGAGTAACTGTGAGGAGTGAGATATCAGAGTGGCGAGATGTCACCAGCGGAGTCCCACAGGGCTCTGTACTTGGACCCATCCTGTTTCTAATATATGTAAACGATCTTCCAGAGGATATAGACTCATTCCACTCAATGTTTGCTGATGATACAAAAATTATCAAGACAATCAAACGAATCAAGACAGATGAAGATAGACAGAGACTACAGGATGACCTGGATAAACTGGAGGAATGGTCTAGAAAATGGCTACTAAAGTTCAACTCAGGAAAGTGTAACGCAATGAAATTAGGCGAAGGGAGCAGAAGGCTGAACACAAGGTACCATCTGGGAGGTGATATCCTGCAAGAGTCAAATAGAGAGAAAGATCACACCGTGATATCACGGTTGATATCACACCGAACATGTCCCCAGAAACCCACATCAAAAGGATATCATCAGCGGCATATCTTGAGTTATCTTGAGATGATTTCGGGGCT